GTCATCATTATTGTATCGAGCACTATAGACACTGTGGACAACGTGAGCACAAATCAAAGGACACCGTCACTGCCCGATTTAACTTGGTACACAAACACAATCGATGACCGGAATGGCGCTACTACGAATAATACAGGCTATTGAAAACGGTACAATACCAACCGTAAAATATCATGGATCCGACATCGGTTTGTGATAAGATGGTGCAAACCATTTAAATATCAGCCGGGTGAGCATTAACCTCGCTAAGGCGTGAGCAACTCCAAAAACTGATAGTTTGGATGAGACAAAATTTGAACGAGAACTAGCGGTCACCGGAGAATCAGTGTCATTAAAATTTACTTCTGCGTCATCCGACATAATGGGTAGTTCAGCAAGGAGTGCTTCGTTAGCCACATGTGAATCAGAATACCGTGGGTTACTGAAATCAATCGATCGGTATGGATCAACTTCTCCGTTAACGGAGAAATTTTCACACATGAACACACATCGACAAGACAAAAACAACAAGTCAAGACATGCAACGTTTCCAGTTTACGTTGGTGCAATGTATCACAATGATATCCAAACTCCCAGGCCGCAGGCATAACTTCGGTGAATGCTGCAGTTCTGATGAATGGTTATTTAGGCGACTTCAATATTATCGTCCACTGATGATGCAATAGTCCTTATAGAAAAGGCGAATGCTAAATCCTAAGAGATTTTTGACACTATTCTTGCGCCGGGTGTTGATCAAGCAATATCAGTCAACGTTCTTCTGGCTTCAAGGTGTTGTTTGCACCCTGTCGTCGCTACCCAACAATGGTAGCTTTGCTATTGCCTGTCATAATGGGGTCCTATCCAGTGCTTTACTCCAAGTCCCGGGGATAATGCTGCCGGTCCCATTGACTATGAAGTTCACCCATTCTATCGTTCATTAAACTGAGATGTATGGCGAAACGGCAATTGGTTTCTGCGAAGATGAACTTGGATTTATAAAGCAAGGAAACCGAGTATCACCACTATAGGTAATGGTAGGACGGGTGGAGTAGTGGTGTATACCGCAAACGATCGATCAGACCGTGTCACAAACGCAAAAAGTGCACATGAACATTTCAGATGATAAAAAAGTGAAAATGGACTTCTCGATCCAGTTAGATCGCCAAAAATTCCACAAGAATGAAAGCCGGTAAACAGAGTGCGTTCCTGATTTACGCAAGGGGTGACCGAACAAAACTGAGTCGGGTGTATTGTAATACGCGAAATAGCTGTTCGCTCAACCTCAAATGGAACAACACCGACTCCAGGATGGGGAAGCTTATCGGTGTACAACCGTGGTAAGGTTGGCATCAGTTCCTTTCACTGTTGAGAGAGAACGCATCCACCGGTTATGGTCGTGAGAGAAAAAGATAGAACACGCTTCAGGAATCACGCGAGAGAAAAGCTGTATATGGGGATGGGACAGACTTACTTGTGTACCAGTAGAAAAGAACAGTTCTCACGTTCGAGGAAAGCGATTTTGCGGAAATGTCTCTGGTGCTCACTGTTCTCGTCCAATTTAGGAAATAGACCTATGATCATATCACGAGTGTCAGTCAGTTGTGGCCATATCTAAGAAAGAGGGAAACAAGAATGGAGGTGGTGAGATTAAACACAGGGGGTGGATTAATAACAGAACAGCCGGCAAACAAGACAAACAAAACAAAACTTTAAAAAAATACAGAAAGGTGAACGAAACAGTCCAACTAGGTTCAAAGGAATCAACTGATCACCGAATAATTGTGGCTCTGATCATTGTGAGGCATCATGAACAGGACATGCAAGCATTCCGTGCAGTGCTGCTGTGTCAGATACAGCCAGCGCTCATACAACTTGAGTTGGTTTCTTTTTCGGAACACAACACTGTAATCACTCAATCCTATTCGAATCTGGGGTTTTGAGTTCCATTGTTCCCTAGTCATCCTCGACCAAAAAAACTCTTCTCATCGAACATTCGGTCAGATAAAGGTGATGTAGAAATATGTCTAATCAATGAAATCTCCTGGGATTGAGCGCTCCGCACATGTTCGATCAAGACTACTGGAAACATAAAACGTAAATTCAATACCTTCACCACACTTACAGGATGTGGTGGACCCCGACAAGCAAGAACAATGGTAATAATATTCATGGTCATAATACTTCCAGTGGATAGAAAATGGGTCGAACTGCTGTCAGATATAATTTAGAAATCAGTCACACTCGGGGTGATCTAAATAAGCAAATATCAAGCCCTATTCACTGCCTCCTCGTGGCGACGGAAATGAGAGGAAGAAAAGCCAACATCCGGGGCTATCCAACGGGGTCGGTGAACTACTAGCAGTGCGCACCTAGGGAATTGACTAAAAACCCTGATTCCGGACCAACCAAGAGGAGGCGTACGAACCACAACCACTCATACCCTCTTGGTTGTGATAGTGCTAACCGGTTCAATTGCATATCGAGATGTATTGCGTACCCCGGACGTTTGACTGTCCAAGGGGCGTATGATCCGTCAATTTGGATTCGGAGGGGTGTGAAATACGATACTAACGCCAAGCGCGAGCTCTGGGTACGCTGTTACCTTACTTTAAAAAATCGTCCACTGGAACATGTGTGGCTGCCCAAGTAGCGAAACGCATACATTTGTTCTATTATTTCTTTCATCTATGTCAGACAGTGGGTTGAAACAACTACTAAAGAAAGCACTTTGCACTAAGCGCACCGAACATTCATTAGATAGCGCATAAACCAACGATAGCTTGACTGACTGGGACACAGACTCCACAGTACGACGAGATCCGCGAACTTACTCCATGTAGCACAGTTTTTTCGCCAGAGAATAATAACTCTATGCCATTATTCGCAGACGAGGATATGGTAAGCTCCGGTATCATTATCATCATCATCATTGTACAGCGTAATACAGTGAAGCGAACTTCACTGATCGCTGTCAAACTCATATAATGCATACAAGATAAGTGAGAATATGTAGGGAGGACAGGGATTGGGCCTATTTTTAGGGACGGGAAAAAAGCGAACCTCTATGGTCAACACACAGAATACACAGCCCAACTGTGCATACATACTAGTTCAAACATTCTGGACTGATAAGAAGTGACAGCATGATCGCCATTGCTGTCGGTTCGCAGCCATGACCTTCAGTGTCTCCAACCATTCGGTTTCGGAGTCTTTTGGACCCCAATCCGGAAGACGAGAGACACTTACTGTGCCTAATCGCTTTGTGCATTTCTTCGTGCTTCGTCTCCACGTGGCTTTCTCTAGCCTGTAACAGCCACCGCAAACAAGGCGCGCTGCGGTAGGCGACCATCGCACATACGCAAAACGTGTCCTAACCAACGGAGCCTACTGAGCTGAATTCGATGAGATAGCGAGTTCTTGTTTGGTGTATTCCCAAACACCCGACGACTTACCTCTAAGTTACTAACCCGCTCACTCCATCCAACTTGGGCCAGACTACGTAAGCATCGGTTGTCGAACACTGTTAAACGACGGGTGTCTTCTATCCACAAATGCAAGGTTTCACAACCGCAAAGCAGAACTCATCGTACAGCGGCGCAGTATACGCGACTTTTCAACTTTAGTGACACGTCACGTCGCCCCCACAAGTGTTTTAGTCCTGCGTACGTTGTTCGAGCCTTGGAAACGCGGGCGGTTATCTCCTTCGATGCACCACCGTCGTTGGTCACGCAGCTACTTAAGTACGAGAGGCAGTCAACTTCAGCTAATTCCTGACCGTCTAGTTTCAAAACAGAACTCGGTGACACCCAGTCTTGTAGCATCCCTTTGCACTTGGAAGGTGCAAAGCACATGCCGAACGGAATGACAGGACTTGATAATCTGTAAAGTGGTCTTTGTGCATCCTCCATAAATTCGAACAAGTAAACGATGTCGTCAGCGTACTCCAAATCGCACAGCTTTTCTCCAGCTGCCCATTCCATAGTTACATTTTGGAGACCACTTAGTGGGTTCTCCAGTACTTCGTCTATGACGAAATTCAACAGGAATGGCGAAAGAGGGCACCCGTGACGAACACCGCTCTTAGTTACGAAGGACTTACTCAGCTCGCCGTAGACCCTTACGCTACCAGAAGTATGTGAACAGAGTGAACTCATTATATTTACATACTTCTGCGGCATTCCTTTGCGAAGGAGTGAACCCATAAGGGATTCACGATTAAATGAGTCGAAGGCTCCTTTCTGGTCAAGGAACACGACAACCGTTGGTCGACGGTGCGTATTCGGTATCATTAGGAAATACATTGCGTCAAAACCGGTCAATGAACATCGCAATGCTTTGATTTAATTAGACAGTCGGATTCTTCTGATCTGTGTCAGTTCTGAGTCAGCCATTGAACGCCAAACGAAGAAAGCCAGACCGCATTGCGCACAGTTCCCCGTGCACGCCACCTGCTAAGCAACACCATTAGCTGAAGTCATCCACGACCGACCCGGTCAGAGTCCAGTAACTCCGCAAACCTCAATCACCAGAGGCAGACAATGAGAGAGAAACCAGCCTCCAACTGGACCGACACGTATCTGACTCCAGCCCGTTTGACTCGGCCCTCAGAGCCAATCGTTTTCCCGAGGTTACGGATTCAATTTGCCGACTTCCCTTACTTACATTGTTTACATGTCAGAGGCTGTTCACCTTGGAGACCTGATGCGGCTATGGGTACGGCCTGCCACGAAAATTATATAGCCTCGCTCGGAAGGGCCGACAAGAGCGCTCCGGACACCACACGAAGGATGGTGCTTTACGGAGGCTATTTCCCCTATATTCGAACAGTCCATTTTTGCATTCTCGCCGTTCCNGGAGGGGGCCTTGTCTGGGGACATCGATTTGAACGAAATCAGAGGTTCTCTCAGGAACCACTTGCGTTGTGTTTCGGAGCAATTTTTCAGCCAGCACTCTTGATCTGTGAACTCAAAATTCCCATTCTTGAGAGCTCACTGGTTCGAGTCGCTGCCACCTCCGTTAGTTTCTTGAGTTGCCGGACTTCCAATAGGCTGGTGTTTAGGGCCTTCGGTTGACTGGAAAGGTGTGACTTCGTCTAGGTGAATTCTCCCAGGACATCCGCCAGTTTGGATGCATCCAGTTTTCACAGCATTAATGATCTATGCCTTCTCCCGTAAGTTCTCTGGCAGGCTCTCTATGAAGCTATCAAGCAGTAAATCCGAACGCGCGGCATCATCCAACGTTGGGAGCGCACGATTCAACAGGGCGCGCAGGGTCACGGCATGCGACAAGGGATCCAAACCAACTCCGAGCTGCACCATCCTGAAGCTCTGCAACGCTCGCTGGCGGTCAGCCGAGGTGTCGAAACCCGCTATCAGCGCGTCCTTCGTGGC